TGTGCCGGCACACAACGTGGTCATACATGTCCTCTTTATACATTCGGGCCTCGGAACTGCGCAAAAAGACTGTGTTCCCAAAATGCATACGCATGCTGCAAATAGGCAATTTTTCATTAGGGTGTTCTATTCACTTACCTATTAGTTTTCGCCCACAGAGAGATCAGTTCTGACCTCGAAGGTAAGGGCACAAAAACGGTATTTAGGGTTATCTAAAGTAAGTTAATTTAGGTGATCAGTAATTTGTAAATTCCTCGTCATGTTGTTCAGGAAATGATTTTACCTTGAAGGACGCATATACAAGTTTTCAAGAAATGGACACCGAGCAAACACCGTTCGCGATTTATTTGATGTTTTTTACCTAATAAATTCTCACATTTAAAATAGTTCAGGCTTGAAAAATATTGTTAACCCAAGATCAGTGCCTCTTATCTCTTTAACTGGAATCGCTAAAGTTAGTTGGCTGTCCTTCAAAAGCCCAAGCAATGATGCTTTTCAACTAAACAAGCTTTAGGAGAAATGATCACAAATACAGTTGTATAGTTAATTTGACAAAATTCTGAAAAAAGATTGCGCACACCATTTCAAATTGGGAGCGCTCGTAATCGTAGAGCTTCTGTAGAGTTTCTGTTTCTCTAGGAGGTTCAACGATCAGGCGCAACGTTGCAAAATATATAAATGCTAGCTACAGTACATGTGTGCCCTTTTATTTCTAGATGCCGTACATATTATGAGTTCGCCAGAAACAGTCTCTGACCTTCAGCGGTTTGTATTCATTGCCTGACTTTCAAAGGTGCTTCTGATAACGTGCTAAATTGAGGGTTGGTAACGTTGGACAAATAGCACCCTATCTCTTTCCGAATGCTTCCTGCTACGCACATTTTCACTTGCAGTGAAGAAACTTCGCACAGATACTTCTTTGTCTTCGTTTCCCTTTGAACAGAAAATATGACTGGTCTCAAATGTTAAGAAAACACAGGTTACTCCACAATTTATTCCTCTCATGACCTGAGCGCATCTTTGCAAAAGAACATGGTTTATTCCTATGCGCTGATTGATTTTTTTTATTTGCTAAGTGGAAATTCGAGAAAATTATAGTCGTCTGTGAAAGCTAACTGTACTTTAATTCTTTATGAGGCGTTTTAATTTCCTTCTCAACTTAGGTACTGTGTCATGTACAAAATTGTCTACGCCAACCCCTCCTGCCAATCGGGGAAGCCGGCCTGGACTTTTCCATCAGACAACGACGATACCTGGC